TCTACATTCCTTCGAAATCCTCCTTTTTACACCTTCGTGATAATTTCTATTTCGCCATTTTAACTTTATAATATTCGCATTTGTAATTTTGTTTATTACTTTATTTTTTAATTCCTGATTTTATTCGTATTTTTATAATTCAATTTTATGTAATAATTTCATAATTTGCGCAGTTTTAATTAATTAGAATTATTACTTAGCATTTACATAGTTTAATATATTAAAAAAGCGAAAGTGTAGTATGTTAATGCTGATGCAACACTGATTAATTTGATGATAATATTTGTTATTATTACTTCATTTTTATTCAATATAAACCTTCTGCTTACATTTAAAATTATTTATAAATACATAAATGAAAGAACTGAATACAATTATAGGAATTGGTTAAAGACAATAACATAAATATAGGAATGGAGTATATGTGTTGGAATTGGATAATTTATTTCAGAAATCGTAAAAGCAGGTGCAATAACCAATTTTTTTAAAATTTTAATTATGAAACGAATATATTGATTGTGTTACAAATTAGTAGAAAAATAATGCATGTTAATAATATTAGTTAAAAAAATATATACAAGCATTTTATAACATTATAATATTTTGTATGTAATGTTTTACGCATAATATAGTTGTAAACTAATCTTACAAGTCAATATCCATTTCTATGTCATTATCGTTTAAGTATGAATCATATTCATTTAATATCATTGAATCATTCTCATTATCCAGAAATGAGTATGGAGCATATGAGCAATCTTCTAGCTGTGTTCTAACTTTCTCAAGGTAGCTTCTATAAGTTGGATTCTTTTCAATAACTTCGGTTGCACTTTTGTATGATCGATTCTCATGTATAACCTTAGATAAGATGTCTCCAACCCCTTTAATCATCTCAGAAATTCGTTTTAGCTCTGCGGAGTTGATATTGAGATCGTTTATAATATTGAATGTCAATCGTGAGGCAAATAAGGGCCCAAAATACTGATTAAAGTTCTCCTTTGAAATAATCAGGCAGTTATCTGGTAGATCTTCAGAATTCCCTTTGAATGGTCGCGATGTGAAAATGACAGTCACGATATGAGACTCCTCAAGAAATTTTTTCAAATCACTATCTTTCATTTCATTAATAGCCTTTTTGTTCTTATTGCATTCAGTTTTTATATCATCTATGGTAAGCTCTTTTAAGGTAATATACCATTTCTGCTAGAATACTATAAGAAGATTTCTATTTTCAATAATTTTTTTGCGTAATAAAAAAATATCACCAAATGGTGCCGAGCAGCCATTTACAACAACTAAGCTATCCAGATTCATAACTCTGTTATTTAAGCGATTTATTGGAAGACCAGTTTTTGGAAACTGGTTTTTTGCTTCACATAGTTCAAGCTTTTCAAGCCTCATCTAGATGTTCAAAACAGAGACTTTGCCAATTGCCTCACGATAAAATTTTTTCAAAAAAATTCCCTCTTTATGTTGCTTTAGTTCAAAAAGTAGATTGTTGCGAAATATTTCATAATTAGTTACAAATTTCTCCTAGGTATCCCAGGCCATTTTGGATTTAGGCTAAAACATTTTGTGTATAGTAGCAGGGGCCGCGTTCAACCATATGTTGAATATGTAAATAAAGTAAAAAGGCATTTCAATAAAATAAGTATTAGGTCCAGGATTCTTTAGAATTAAAATCCCATCGTGCTTCAGGTCCTCTACCATTATTGTCTACTCACTATCCAATTTTGTATTAAGCTGAACTGGAATGACTCCAGTGCAGTAGTATAAGAGTTGACAACTAGATTTGCGATTTTTCATAATAAAGTTGTCTAATTTATATGTTCTTATGAGGTTATTAATAACAGCATAGAATATGTTATCAAAGAATGTAAAGTTTTTATCCTTTAGTTTTGGAAAGAACCCATCTCTTTTAAAACATTTATCAAGAATAGTTTCCAATGCTCGCGGTAGTCTACTAATATCATATAAAAGCTGCAAAAATTTTGTGTTGCACATCCAATGTTTCTCTTTATCTCCTCCTTTTTTAGCAAAATAATCAAAAATTTCGATAATTGATTTGTTTGATAAAAAGGACACTTGACAAACTCGAAGGAATAATCTGTTGCTTTAAAGTTATTGATAACATCTTGTGATCCTATCCCTGATAAAAACGTTTGGACATAAAAATACGTGGTTTCAGATTTCATCATCAAAGGTCTGAGGGCACACAACATTTCTTTAAAAAGTCCTTTCCTACTCAACCCTCCTTTCCAACTATTTTCGAAAGCAAAAATTTCCTGAAACTCGTCGATATGAAATACTAAAATAAGTTTCTTGTTGAGCCCACTTAGTAGATGATTTCGAATACTTTTAAGAACAACATTTATTCTGAAATGTTTAAGAAAGTCATACGCTCGAACCTGAAATGCTTCAAATGACATTATTCTACCATCTCTGCGTACAAAATAGTGATAGGCTATCCTAAGTCCGAGAATGATAGATGCTGTCAGATTTATATCAAGATCACAAAGGCGAGAACCAGTTATGAAATCAAGAAGCAGATAGTGATATTCTGGTTTCTCCCAACTAGATGGTGGACTCCAATCTTTTTAACAGAGTTAAAGAACTCATTTCCCCAATAGGTTTTACCTGATGAAACGCATGAGATTAACAATACATGATGTATATATAATTACAAACAAATAAAACGAGTACCTATTCTGGCTGCCCCACTACAGACAAGGAAGTTGAAGCTTGAATTGGAATTGAATAGATCAAAAGATTTGGTAACATTAATATTAAATATCTTCAATGCTTTATTAGTATCACGTTCTTTCAGTGACATTTTTTTCGAGAATTTTGTTATCTCATTTGGTGTTTTAATTTCAATTGGTGTGTTCTGCAAGATAATGGATAAAGCCTCTCAAGCGATCCTTTAAGCATTAAAAAAGCAAAAGTTAGCAGTTCGTTATGGTATCAACTAATATTTACTAAAGCTGACTTACTGACAACAGGTCCTACAATAGGTGATGCTAGGTAAATGAGATTTGTTAGAGGATTTTTCAGACATCGTTCAATAGATACTCAAAGGTATTAAACTGGAGATACTGTACCTTGTGAAATGCCTTGCTGGGAAGGACCTGCTTTTAAAGTGAAAAAAAGAGATCAACCCACATTGATATTTTGTTACTGCAAATTTCTTATTTGAGGTAAAAATCAGGAGACACTTACCAGTGGGGACTAAGATCATGATATGAATATTCTCAGGTGAATCAAGCTTCTTCAGATAATACTCTTTAAGAAATTTTTGTGGTAACATCTTCGTATCTCTAAGATTATCTTTTATACCATCTTCAGTAAAAACACCAAGCTTACTTTCTTCATCAATATTAACCTTCCAAAGTTTCATAATATCGGGATCATCAAAATTAAATTTAGCTTTATTCATAGACCAGATATATCTCTTAAAATGTCCAATGTTGACACGGTTAATAGGAACTCCTGCATTATCTACAATAATCTTATCAGGCACAATAATCAGAAAAATTTTATCAAAGGAAGTTTCGCCTAGAAATAAACAATTTAACGAAAATGACATTATGGGAATATTTCTGTAGTAATTTAGAAGAGAAATTTTATGAGAGCTTTTAAGAAAAGTTTTAAATATAAATATACTTTTCTGAATTCATCGTGACTGATAGACTCTTGATAAACTTTTTTTTATTAATAAAGCGCAGTAACGCTCTGTGATTTAGGCAAGATTTTCACGTAACAACTTTTTTCTTACTCCGACCATGATATTTTCTCGTACAGATTTTTGAAGGCCTTACTAGAATCATGGATTGCAAACAACATAAAATTTCAGCGTAAGGTTAAAGTTGACACTGCATACAAGTATAACTGATGAATGTTTTAAAACTGGATCGTGGAGTGGGATAATGTGAATTAGTAGTATAGGCAAGCGAAAAACTGGTGTGGTCTGCAGGCATTAGTTAGTATAGAGGCTCTATTTCACTTTGTAAAATATTACCGAATCTTGTAATTTATTTTTTTAATAAATAAATCAGTAGTTCTGATCATGACATTTTATCACAGTTTTTTTTTAATCTATGCTAACGAACTTTTATTATTCCATTTTATATAAAAAAAAATTATTATTGAATATGCAATCTATGGTCTGGCATGGTTGCAATATGTTTATTGTTAGTAGGGAGAAATAACATGGTATATTTTTATTTCGGAAATTCATTTTATATAATAGGTGCAGTAGATTATAAAATAAAACACACATTCATAAATTTAAAAATCAAAAACATTCTTTATTATATTTTTTTCGTAAAGTAATACATGAGAAAGGGCCAGCTGGCTAAGTAAAAATGAATGTAAATAATAGAGTAGCAGGTTATTTCAAGGGAGAAATTTGCCGAGCCCTAACCATATAGTGGCAGTTCCTTCCCCGCAAATGCTAATATTTTCTTTGCTATCTAACCATTTGCTAATTAACTTTATTGTACTATATTTCGAATCATTATACCCATAATAAAAAACTTTTATAGTAACCCTTCCAATCTTTTTCCCCGTAAGTTGACACTTCCTCTAAGTATTGATGCGTAGTATATTTTATTGAGAAATGTGTTTATTGGCTAATCGAATCAGAATTTTTTAGATAATAACACTTGAATTTTTATAGCAAGAGTTAGTTATCTTGCGTAAATGCGCTGGGAGAAAGGTTTATTTTATACTTTATGTCTACTACATGTGAAAATGTATTATTTACTGATAATTTTTTATAATTTACTGTTATTTTATTTAAAAAACTTATAGCAGATTATTTTTCTTGCTACTACAATTATAAATTACTTTTGGTATTTTTTTTTTTTTTTTGATGCATATAAAATTTTTAATCAAGCATTAATTTTTAATTTATTATAAAGTTGACAGAGATAACTTAATAGATAATCTAGTTAATGGTAATGATAAATATTTATATTATCAATTACAGAACAGGATATATGGTTAGCAGAATCTCACATATTTAAAGCCTAACTTTTAAAAGAAAATTTGTTCTGGTTGTTCTTTAAAATAAAAGAACAAAGTTCCCAAATATATATTTTAATGAAATATATCATTTGCGCGTTTATACGTCAAAAAGCATATTTCATAGTAAAATGGCATTTATGTTACAAAAATAACTGTAGCAAGAAGAAATTGAATCATTATTTGATTTTTAGAAAGATTTAATACAAAATTCCCAATTTTTTAAACGTATTATCCAACATCACTACATTTAAACCTGATTATACACACCATGAGAGTCTTTTTACTTTTCATTTTTAAGCAGACTTTGAAAAAAAAAAAATGTTTCACTTCCTTTGTGGTAGAACTTTTGTGAATCAGTAGCTACTAGAACATTTCCAGTTTTATTGTCTGCCTTAACGAAAACAATATACCAAATCAGCAATAAATTTATTACTGCAATATTGCATTTTCTTTTTCTGGATAAAAGAAGGGTGTAACCAAAAGTATTATGCATTGATTAAAAAAAAATATATAATTCTTTAATACCTCGTGTTTTAAATTCACTGACGGGTGTACGAAAAGCAGAATCAGAATTTGTGGACATGCATGCCAACTAATATATTAAGTATACTGTAACCGCGTTGGGGTTGCAATGCAATGCAGTGTGTACAATCATTCGAAAATGAAGAGCCTTCATGAACATATAAGAATTTCTAAAGTTTTTAAAAAACGATCAAGCCTACAAATTGGGGGGGGAGAGTTTATAAGGATTTCAATCAAAAAGTCTCTATCGATCTGAATTAGGAGAATTTTGCAAGCGAAATATCAAACCTAGAGTTATCCAATTCATTATTAAACTTCATGATCCGCAGTTAATGTTTATTGACTTCCACTGCGTAACCTTCAAAAAATGTCACGAAATTTCACGTGATATACTTTGTCACCGGTGTCACTTCCCTCCGCGTTTCATTTTTACTAAGTATTATGGGGACAGAGAATTTTTTCGGTAGGTGAAACCTATTTGTCACAACTATACGTCACATGTGCGCCACAATTAATTCCAGCCAAATGCCGTGATGCTGGCCATTTCGTGACATTTTTTGAAGGTTACGCAGGGGAAGTCATGTTTATTAGATAAGTAAAATAAAATACATCATTGTAAACATAAAATCAAAGAAAATTGAAAAGCTATTTTGGAAATGTAGCCTTTTCCATTGCTTTCTTTACGGCGGGTCTTTCACTAATACGTTCTAACCATGCCTTTATGTTTGGAAAAGGAGTATCCGCGGCCTTTACTTTATCATTATATATGACCCAATTGTATGATGCTATATCAGATCATGGAAAAAAATATATATAGAATTAATAGGAATTCAATATAAATAATATCAAATATGAACTAACCAATAGTGTAGTTATCACCGGCAAGATATTTATATTCTCCAAGGCGTTTGTTCATGACTTCGAGTAATCGATCAACTTCTTTCGAAAACTTTATATAAAATAGTTAGATTATTTAAGTGTTGAAAAAAAAAATTCTCTTTAAATCATAATTTTATCAACCGCTTACCGCTCTTTAGCATAATCAATATTCGTAGAAGAGAAATGATTTAATTGACCAATATTCGGGCCAAGCCCACCAACTTGCCAAGTTAAACATTCGTTGACTCTAACTATAGATGAGGGACGAAACCCCTTAATAACAGTCGAAACTTAGACGAAACGATATTAAAATCATAATAAGGGATACGACGAAACCCATTCGATACGACGACTGTCGAAACTATATTAAAAACATAGAAAAGGGTATGACGAAATTATTTTGAGGAGGTTTCGGCAAATCTGGAGCACCCTCACCTTTTTTATAATCGGCAAAATATTGAAGGATTACACCACTTTCAAATATGGGGTGAGCACCTTCACCAAATTCTGACGGAGGATTTTGATCGATTATGGCGGGAATTTTATTATTTGGAGAAATTTTTAGAAATTCTGGAGCGAATTGCTCATTTTTACCGAGGTTAATCAAGTGAAGGTCATAAGGAACATTAAGTTCCTCGAGTGCTACAATGATTTTTTTGCCTTTTTTTTTTTTTTTTTACAAAGGAGGTTAGAAAATCCAATTAAATTCAATTCATTTAAAAAAAAAAAAAAATACCATTTGGAGTTGGCCAAAGATAAGCTTACTAGAACTTTCATAAATAAGAAATGGATGGCTTAGAACATGGGGACTATGATCGTTTTATAACTTTTGAGAAGAAAACCCATTACTATAAAAGGAAATTATATCATAGTTGACAAATACAATTTATTGCGTTTCCAAAGATTACGAATTTGTATGAATAGAAATAATTTGATTTCAAATCATTCGGCGGATCTGTTTTTGTTTTTTCCTTTCATAAAACATTTCAAAAAAGAATTATCGAATTCAATGTAATTTAATAATATAATATTTATATTAATGATTTGAAGATATTTTTTTCATTCTTCTTTATCCGATTTTTCTAAATTAGGATAGAATAACACTTTTAAACCTTAAAAATCCGATGCGAGTAAAAATCATTTGTTTATTATTTTCAGTCATCATTAATCCATTCTTGGAGATCTGATTTATTTTCTCCTGTTTGAATGCCAATTTCTTTCTTATACATGCGCGAAAAGGTAGCACAGGCAAAGAACGGAATAAATGGTTTTCGAAATTTCCCATGGAAACTTTAATTGTCGGCTTATATTTTGACGCAATGCATTTCGGATGATCTCTCTTTTTTTTTAATTCTGAAAGCGGTAAATTCTCTTTTATTCAAAGAAAAAAAAAAATTTCATCTCTCCGAAAAAAATGTTTTTTCTTTTATCATTTCCTAGAACCGTTAAACCTTTGACAAATACAAAAATTTCCCGTTTGTTTATGATAAATCTCCCCCAAAATTTGTTGTAATTGACGAAATCCATTCTTTTGAGAGGACGTGTTTTTTTTTTTAAAAAAAAAAAATTCTTTTATTGTACGACAAAATTTAGGTTCGAAATGTAGGGTAAACAAACAAAATCACTAAACCACAACCGTGCGTTAGGGCGTATTTTTTGCCCACGTAAAAAAATTTTTAAACATTGCTTGTCAAAAGATTATACTATCCAAAAACAATCGAACTAAGAAACAATATTTTCATTGAATCTATGGATCTATTCGTAGAACCTTTTAAGATAATCCATTAGATTGTGTCGTACCTTGGCGTACATTAATTCCAATTCGGAATTTTATTGGGACACTCCTGTCATAAGCAAATCTGTTTAAAAATAATAACAATAAAAAACCTTTATATATACTATAAATAAACTATTGTGATTCCTCTCGTTAATAATGACGCATGTGCAAAACTCGTTTTACGGCGTGGCTTCTTGAAAGGGGGATTTATATTAGTAAAGATATCATGGTAATCAGCAACATGCTCGCCCATGTACTTTTTTCGATGCCTTTGATGCTTTGCGATGCAAGTTAAAGTATTTGAAATGCAATCACGCATTTGCCGAAATTTGATTTGTATGGTGTTCTGATGAGATCACTGTTATCCGAGTCATTCAACTGAACCAATTGTATTTGAATTTAGAAGGAACCCATCACTTTGAAGCATTAGCTGGAGATATGCATTGATAGTAATTTTTTGATAATTTAACATATAAAGATCATTGTCCGATAGGGTCTGCCAAAAAATTGCTTGAATTTGTTTGTGGCGTAGCTTTTTTTTTTTTTGGTTTCCAGAAATAAATATAAAATATTTATTTTATTTATCCCCAACAAGAAGATAGATTATAAACAAAATAAAAATCTTTTTTCACTTTTTGATCTTGTGAATTCCGGAAAGAAAAAAAAAAAGACTTGTGACAATCAGCAAGGAAACGAAACGACCTCACTTTCAAACCGGTATTTTTGATATCACATTTGGGAAGAAAAGAATTTCTCTTTGACTTTAATGGTAAAATTTCAAATCCCCCCCTTTTTTTTTTTCAAAAAGCCACACTTTAATACTTTTTAATGTTTTTTTAAATTACTATTTCTATCAGAATATCATCATATTTGAAATCACACGATTCACATCTGAATCTAGTCTTGAATTGTAAACGATTTATAATCAGAGGATAAAAAAAAAAAAAGAACAGATTTCACACGCAACTCTAGTTTTCAGACTAGTTTGACGTATCTAATAACTACCTGTGCAAGGAATTAGTAAATCATTTCCTATAAAAATTCCCGTGTTTTACCTATTTAATCACCTTTGACAGTTGCAGGGTTAAAATACTTGGAGAATTGAAAAGTTACTTGTTCCGCGTTTTTGTCCCTTCCTTATTCGTTAATCTTGTGTTCCGCTTGTTAAACATACCTTTGGAATTTTTAGTTTAAGGTTCGAAACACTCTATTTTCAAATTTTTTTTTCTTTATTTTTTTCTTATCATAGAATTATTATATTTTAAGATACAATACGGAACATCTTTTTCCTTTTTTTTCATCACACTCCTTTTTTTGTTTATTACATAAATTTACAATAAATAAATATATTATTTACCATTCTTTTTTTCCTAAAACAATTAATATATATCTTCATAGCCACCATTAATTTTGAAGGAAATTTTTAAAAAATTTTTTGAAAAGATTTTTTCCTCTCCTTTTACTTACCCTATCCTCATAGAATCCCTCTATAATAATTTCTATAAAAGTAGTTTGAAAAACACGGGCTTCAAAAGACTCAGTTTTTTGAATAAAACAAAAAAAAAAAATAGAGCAATATGGATGCCCTCCATTTCAAAGTTGACCAGCTAAAGGTGTTATGGCAAGACTATCGTTCCGCAAACGAAATATCGGGGAAAGACTACTCAGATCATGGAGAGTGGGCGCGAGATAAATTACAGGTGAGCAAATAGCTGATCCTTCGGAAAACAAACCATTTCTCTTTTGTACGGTACCTTTTATGCTAAATATATGCCCGTTCCTTTGAAACTTATTAGACGATATTGACAGAGTTTGACAAACTCATTCAAGAACAAATTCTATGGAAGTCAACTCTTTCTGCTGAATTAGAAGATATGCTCGTACGTAACTGTTGTATAATTATTTTTCAATTTCTAAGCCATTTTTTTCGGAAAGTAATTTTTTTCTTTTTCTTTTTTTTCTTGTGTTAGTCGGAAATCGAGGAATATTGCCATATATTTGGTCGAAGGGCTGATACATTAATCGATCATGCTGCTATGCTAAGTTATGAGGTTAATGATGCCACGCGCGACAAGCTCGCAATTATCCGAAATGCGTTAAAAGAGGTTGGTTAATTGGATTGTTTATTGTTTATTACCAGGGGGAACGTTTGGTGATAGACAGGGTTTCATGTGGACGTTACTCCTGTTACAGTTGCGAATAATGTGTTGAATGTATTTTAATAATTGGATAATGAGAATTTCTTTTTTTAATTTGTTTTTTTTTTTGGTCTAACCTCTTTTAGGAGTACGGAGTCACGAGATCTAATGTCGATAAGTGGTTGGCCGGACTTAACGTTTTTGTTCAGGAACTTGATACCGGCTATGTAGTTCCATCAGCAGAGGTAATGCGGCGTGTGGGTAAATGAATTCTATAACTATCACGTACCTTGTAAAACTAACGTGTTATTTATTATTAAGGTTTTTGAAACCGACTTAAGCACGGCTGTAGTTCGTCCGGTTTGTATAATTGATTTTTTTTTTTTTTTTTTTTTGAACGTTTTCTGTTTTGTAATCGTAATATTAAGATTTTTCCTATCCATGATATAGTTATGGTGCAAATATGATCAGTATGCCAGTATAGTGGTAAAGTATTGAATTTAACCTTGAGATAATTGATTTCGGATTATTCATACGATATGTTAACTTTATTCTGACCTTGTAGGGTGGGCTTCGCGAATCATTTGAAAGTTCGGCTACCAAACTTCATTATTATTGGGAAATGCTTAGCTATAACCCACAAGATGAAATAGATACAGCTTTAGCTCAATTATTTTTAGATAAGTCAAATCCAAAAGAACTTTACGATGCGTTATTACAAAGCGAAGCAAAAAAGGACAATGCTAGTGAGTTAGAGCAACAACAATTAGAGTTAGATTTAGAAAAACGTGGTTATGTTTATTACACGCCACAACTTCCCGAAGGAATAAAACTAAGACCCGAACATCTAGAAATCTTAAAGAATAAGTTGACCACTTTAGGTAAAGATTATGAAGAACGTAGGGGTAAGATGTCTATGATGCAAAGAGGCATCATGAACCTCTATGATGAATTGAATATTCCGGAAGCTGAGAGAATCGAATTGATCGATTCACTGGATCAAGAATATTTGGATAAAGTAAGGGAAAATTTACAAAACATATGGAAATCATTAGTGAAATGAATTTAATAAGTCTGATATTAATTTTTTCGAATCGTCTTTCAATCTTAGTTAACGGTGGAGTTTGAACGGCTTCGAGAAATAATGCGCGCCATCATTCAAAAGGCTATCGAGGAATATACCGTTCAATTGGGTGAACTTTGGGACAAATGTTTGGTTCCTGAATACGAACGTGATGAATTCTTTTCCAGTTTACGTGCACGTAAGTCAAAATGATTTCTTGAAGTGGAAAAATATACCCTCTCATCATGCCTTTGATTACCAATAACGACCATTTATATGCTTGCTTTTAGTCGATTCCGCTGAGGAAGTTTATGAGTTACTTGCTCAAGAAGTTGCTCGTTTGCAGGAACTTTATGCCAAATGCGCCAAGATATATAAATGGATGTTGGATAGACGTGCTTTGATCGAGGTACGTATTATCCATTCTAACTTGTAGTACTTCAACAAACGTTAATCATTCAACTTTCCTTTATAGAAAATGATCGAGTTTGAGAAAAAGGCTTCTGACCCACGTCGTCTCTTCCAAGCTTCATTCCGTTTATTGGAAGAGGAGAAATGGCGTAAATCTTGTTGGCCCAACTTGGTCAAAATAGAAGATCAATTGATTAATGCTTGTTTGGCATACGAAGAAGGTACGTTTAATTACTTTTAAAATATATTACGATTCCCTGCGACAAAATGATTGATGTTTTAATATATATAATAGCCGAGCGAAAGCCTTTTATGCATGAAAGCAAACGTTATTTGGATACCTTGGTGAG